CCAGTTCTTAAGGGAAACACTTTTAGCTTTTCCCCTTGGAGTATGGTGTTAGCTGTGGGTTTGAGGTATATAGCATTTATTATGTTGAGGTATGTTCCCTCTATTCCCACTTTGCTGAGGGTTTTTTATCATAAATGGATGCTGGGTTTTGTCGAACACTTTTTCTGCATCTATTGGTATGATCATGTGATTTTTCTCCTTCATTTTGTCTAAGTGGTGTTTCATGGTAATTGATTTGTAGATATTGAACCAACCTTGCATCACAGGAATAATTCCCACTTGATCATAGTGTTAGATCTTTTTAATGTATTGCTGAATTCTGTTTGCTAATATTTTGTTGAGGATTTTTGCATCTATAAGCATGCAGGTTATTGGCCTATAATTTTCTTTTGTTGTAATGTCTTTGTCTGGTTTTAAAGTCAGGGTAATAGTGGCCTTATAATGTGAGTTTGGGAGCCTTCCTTCCTCTTGAATTTTTTGGAATACTATGAGAGGGATGGGTGTTAATTCTTCTTGGACTGTTTGATAAAATTCACCTGTGAAGCCATCTGGTCCAGAAATTTAGTTTGCTGGCAGTTTTTTGACTACTGATTAGTTTGGGTTTTAGCGATCGGTCTGTTCAGATATTCTATTTCCTCTTGATTCAGTCTTGAAAGACTGTATGTTTCTAGAACTTACCCATTTCTTCCAGACTGTCCACTTAATTAGCATGTAACTGTTCACAGTATTCTCTTACAGTCTTTTGAATTTATGTGGTGTCAGTTGTCACTTCTCTGCTTTCAATTCTGATTTTATTTATTGGGGTCTTCTCTTTCTCTTTTTTTTTTTTTCTTGATGAGTCTGGTGAAATGTCTATCAATTTTGTTTATCTTTTCAAAGAACCAGCTCTTGGTTTCATTGATCTTTTGTATTGTTTTATTGGACTCTATTTCATTTCTTTCCACTCTGATCTTTATTATTTCCTTACTTATACGCAACTTGGGCTTTGTTTGCTTTTCTTTTCTAGTTCCTTTAAGTGTACGGTTAGCTGTTTATTTGGGATTTTTTGTTTCTTGACGTAGGCTTTTATTGCTATGAATTTCCATCTTAGGACTGCTTTCGCTGTGTTCCATAGATTTTGGGTCATTGTGTTTTCATTTTCATTTTCTCAAGGTATCTTTTGATTTCTTCCTCGATCTCATTGTTAACCCATTCAATGTTTAGTAGCGTGTTATTTAGCCTCCATGTGTTTGTGTGTTTTTCAGTTTTCCTCTTGTAATTGATTTGTGGTCAGAGAAGATGCTTGATATGATTATAATCCTCTTAAATTTACTGAGACTTGTTTTGTGGCCTAACTTGTGGTCTCTCCTGGAAAGTGTTCCAAGTGTACTTAAAAAGAATGTATATTCTTCTGCTTTGGAGTGTGATGCTCTGAAAATATCAATTAAGTCTGTCTCGTCTAGTGTGTCATTTAAGGTCACTATTTCTGTCTGGATAATCTACTACTACTGTATTACTGTCGATCTCTCCTTTTATGTCCATCAATATTTGCTTTATATATCTCGGTGCTCCTATGTCAGATACATAAATGTTTACTAGGGTTATATCTTCTTGTTGGATTGATCCTTTTATCATTATGTATTGTCCTTCTTTGTCTCTTATTATAGCCTTTGTTTTAAAGCCTGTTTTGTCAGATTCAAGTATTGCTACCCCAGTTTTTTTTTTTGGTTTTTTTTTTTTCATTTCCACTCACATGAAATACCTTTTTCCATTGCTTAACTTTCAGTGTGTGTGTGTGTCTTGTGTCATTCTATCTGACATGGATCTCTTGTAGAGAGATATGTATGGGTCTTGTTTTCTTATCCATTCAACTACACTATGTCTTTTGATTGGAGCATGCAGTTCATTTATACTTAAAGTGATTATTGATAGGTATATAGTTGTTGCCATTTTGTTATTCATATTTATGTTCTTTATTTTCCCCTTCAATTTCTTGATTCCTTGTAATACTTAATGGTTTGGTGGTGATGATCTCCTTTTAGTGTCTTCTTGTCTGGAATGTTCTTAATCTGGCCTTCAATGTTAATGATAACCTTGCTGGGTAGAGTAGTTTTGGTTGTAGGTCTTTGCTTTTCATTACTTTGAATATTTCATGCCAGTCCTTTCGAGCCTTCTGTTGAGAAATCAGCTGACAATCTTATGGGAGCTCCTTTATAGGTAACTAACTGCCTTTTCTCTTGCTGTTTTTAGGATTCTCTTTGTCTTTACCTTTACATTTTAATTAATGATATGCCTTGGTGTGGGCCATTTGGGTTGATCTTGTTTGTGACTCTTTGTGCGTCCTGGACCTTTCTATTTTCTTCACCAGGTTCGGGAAGTTTTCAGCCATTATTTCTCCAAATAGTTTCTCAATCCTTTGCTCTTTTCTCCTTCAGATACCCTGATGAAGGAAATGTTGTTATGCTTGATGTTGTCCCAGAGGTTCCTTTAAGCTATCCTCATTTTTTTTTTTAACTAGTTTTTCATTTTGCTGTTCCCATTGGATGTTTTCTGCTACCTTGTCTTCCAAATCACTGATTCAGTTCTCTGCTTCATTTAATCTGCTGTTGATTTCTTCTCATGTTTTCTCACTTTAGTTATTGTATTCTTCAGTTCTTGTTTTGTTTTTTTTTAAAGATTTTATTGGGGAATTGGGGAGGGGAACCACGTTGGGGAATCGGGAAAGGGGAACAGACAAGTTGCTGTCCTTTTGTTCTTCAGTCTAGTTGTGGAGGACGTCACTTCACTGGCCCATGGTTGTATTGTGATCACTGTGCTCTTCCCAGGTGAGGGAGTCGCTCGCCGGCCATTGGACGGCCGCTCACAGTGGCTCACGGCAGCTCACGTTGGCTGCCAGCCACTCACAGTAGCTCACGGCAGCCCACTGCAGCAGGGGTCGTAGCTATGCTGTTGCTGGCAACTCACGGCAGCCCAGCTCCAGGTTGAGCTGTTGTTCACCACCTTAGCTCTAGAGGGCGCAGCATCACTGTCCCTCATGTGGGATCCGAACTGGGGCCCTGCTGCTCAGAGCTGGCATCCCAGCCAACTCTTAACCAGCACTACACTTGTCCGGCCCTGTATTCTTCCCTTCTTACTGGTTCTTGTTTTATGGTTTCTGTGCTGTTTATTATTCTTACTATCTATTTGTTGAAGTTCTCACTAAGTTCTTTGAGCATCCTTAAAACCAGTATTTTGAACTCTGTATCTGGCCTATTGCTTGCCTCTATATCGTTTAGCTCTTTTTCTATAGTTTCTTTCTTTTCTTTCATTTGAGTTATGTTTCTTTGACTCCTCGTTTGGGCTGCCTCTCTTTGTTTCTATTTATTAGGTAGATCTCCTATGTCTCCCACTCTTGGCAGGGTGGCCTTATGTAGTAGGCCCTGTGGGGCCCAGTGGTGCAGTCTCCCTGAGCACCTGAGCAGTGTGTTACAGGAGTGCTGCTTATGTGGGTTGTGTGCACTCTCCTTTTGTAGTTGAGCCTTGATTGCTGTTGGCATGTCTTTGGGCGGGATTGACCCTCAGGCTGACTGGCTGTGACGATTGGCATGAACACAGCGTAGGAGCTGCTGTGCAGGGCCTGACCCTACAGAGGGGGATTTGCCTTCTGGGCCCTGGTGCCTCCCAAGACTAGTGTGTGTAATTGTGCTGTTTGTGGGGCTAAAAGGGAGTTGGTTCTGGAGCCTCTTGGGAGGGGCTCCCATGCTAGACAATGTCAGGTGTTGTTTGTGACTGGCCCAGGGCTACCTGTTAAGTGTTACAGTGAGATTGTCGGTTGGTTGCTGCGTATGCTGAAACTGGAGGCATGTGGGAGAGGCCATGATGCTGTGAATCGAGGCTGGCTGCTACCAGTACTGGGGATGGGGCAGCTCAGCATAGGCACAGGGCCCTGAAGGCCTTCCACCTATTGCTGGCTGTCTCTAAGGCCCAGCCATTGCAAAGATTTCTGGCACTACCCAATTTGGGTGAGGCAGGGTCTTGCAGTCACTATGGTGGGGCATGTCGTGCTCACCAGGTTAATGCCGATTCAGATTTGGCACAGTGCTGAGCCTGGAGCACTCAGCAAAAGGTTCAGGGCCCACAGAGGCCAGCTGCTTGTCTGTCTGGGTTCCCCAGACTCCTAAGAGTTGTCCAAGAAAGACTGCTGCACAGCCCAAAGCTGTTTGCCAACCATTGAAATTCTCGGGTGGTGCGCGAGTTGTGTGTGTCTGAGTCTCAGGGAGTCACCTGGGTGGAGCGAGTGGTGTTCAGGCCAATGCAGATTCATATTTGGCTGTGTGGGTGGTAGGGCTCAACATAGGGACAATGGGGGCCATCTCTCTGGTCCTTGACCTGAAGGCACACAACTCAGTATCTCCCTGTATGTCTGTGATGCCTCCTAAACCGCCATCTCTCTCCCCAAGCTGAGAATGAATACCTGGGAATGAGAGCGTCTGTGTGCAGGCCATTTAAGAGCATGTCTGGATTTCTAGCAGCCTTTCGTTTTACCCAGATGTTTGGAATTCCTGTTTTTTTCACAGCCAGATGTTGTGGGGGACTCCTCTTACCGGCACTGGTGCTTCAGGCTGGGGAGCCTGATGTGGGGCTGGGACTCCATTGCTCCTCAGGGGGACTTCTGCAGCTGTGATATTCCTCCCAATTCTCAACTGCCATACGTGGGTGTGGTGCCAGCCCGTTTTGCATGTTCTGTACCGCCTAGCAGTCTCGATGTGGCTTCTTCTTTATATCCTTAGTTGTCAGACTTATGTTCAGCTAGTCTTCAGATGTTTGTCCCAGTTGTTTGTTTTATAATTTAGTTGTAATTTTAATGGGTTCATAGGAAGAGGCATTCCCAGCGTTTACCTACTTTGTCATCTTCAACAGAACTCCCCAATTTCTAAAATTTACTATAATTAACAGAAAATTTCTCTGCTGAATTGCTGTAAAATGTGTAAAACACATCTCAGTTTCTGTCCTAATTATCTTTCCTATATTTTTATTTCTAGATCTATATACATTGCTGCTGGAAGACATTCTTGTATTGTTACAAAAGCAGGATGATAAATTGGTGTTAAGGTGTCATAGTAAAATTCTGGCATCTACAGCTGATAGCAAACACACATTTAGCCCTGTCATTAAGTTAAATACAGTGTTGGTTCGACAAGTGGCAACAGGTGAGTATGTCTTCTGGATGATGCTAACCTCCAGGTTCATTGTAAAGTTACATAAGATAATTCAGTGTTGTTTAAATAGCATAACTGGCATAAACTTTTGTTCTTTTTATATTCTTTTACAAATTAAACAAAATTTATTTACTGCTTACTTAGTGAATTGAGAGTTTATACTCCAAATGTAGTATGACTAGACTCTCTGAGTAATTTCCTTTTTTTTTTTAAGATTATATTGGGGAATTGGGGGAGGGGAACAGCGCTGGGGAATTGGGGAAGGGAAACAGACAAGTTGCTGTCCTTTTGTTCTTCAGTCTAGTTGTGGAGGACATTGCTTCACTGGCCCATGTTGGTATTGTGATCATTG